TCACGTGTTGGGCATGTAATACTGTCTGAAAAAAATGACATGTGATCGTTTTCGTTAAATTTTTTTATAAATTGTCTGATTAAGGACTAAAGTGATACAAATTGAATACTTTAGAAGTCAAATTGACAAAATTGATATAACGAGGACTATACATATTTTAAGGATAAAAAATGTTATTAACCAAATATTTATCCATTTGAGTTGTATTTTTTTGGGGTTTATTTGGGTTGTGTAATATTTTTTTTTCATAAAATTAAAAAAAAGACGGCGCCAAAGAAATCGACGACCAACGAAGGGAGAAAATATTCATTACAACAGTGATATTACGTGGCAAGGTGATGTGGTATCACCAACTAATAGTACTAAAATTAATAAATACATGGACTCTACAAAAATCAATAACTAACCTGACATGTAAGTAAATCCCACCCTCATGCCATGTAAACTTAAATAGGGTTCACCTTTTTCATTTAAAATTTTATTATTAGTACGTGATATCATATTATCAATGGTGATATAGTATTAACGTTGCATTCAATATTTACTCCACCTAAGGATTAAACAGCACGAAAAATCGAATAGGGGCAAAAGAGTATACTCACTAATGGAAAAAAATTAACTGTTGAATCTCATTCTCTGCTTGCCTTGCCTACACCTGCTGGCCTAGAGCTCTGTCCCTNTAATGGAAAAATTGGCCTTTTCAATTTAAAACAAATTAACTGTTGAATCTCATTCTCTGCTTGCCTTGCCTACACCTGCTGGCCTAGAGCTCTGTCCCTCCGTTCTTTGGTCGTCGAGAGAGAGGGAGAGAGAGAGAGAGAGAGAGAGCGCGCAGTCAATCGCTTCCGTTTTTGGCGTATATAAATATATAGCTAACTGTAAAGAGTACCTATACATTACATAACGAGGAGGTTGGGGACGATNCCTTCAAACTCACTTTGATCCTCAAATCTTTGCTAAAATTGAAAATATAACAAGCTTATCTGGCAAAACTACTATCTATAATATAAAACAGGGCAGATTTCAATAAACCCATCTGACGGTCTTAAATAAAATTATTCAACGGCCATCAACATGCCTCTCAAAATNTTCAAATCTTGTGTATGGTTAGGGTTTTATAGGTAGGTAGGGCCCTGTCTATACTAATGCTTATTTGTTTGTACATATTCATCATAAGATGTGTCTGTTTTGTGTTATTTCTCACGACTATGTTTTTCAAGTGACATTTCCAATTTGGTAAACTTGGTTTATTGGTTAGACTGCGCTCAACCTGATGCTTTGGTATTAATTGCCTAAAGTACATACTGCTGCGTTGATATTTCTGCTCATAACTCATGATTAGCAATGGTCTTGACTAGTGCATTTCTGTGTGAGAAACCAATTGGAATTGTTGGAGGATGTGATATGGTTTTATCCAATAAATGAATGAGCTTTATGGGCAATGAAGATAAGCAAGAATACCATTTGCATAACAAANTCTTTTGTATTTGTTAAATTTGGTGCCTTTGGATTCTTGATAAGTAATCGAGTTTGTGGGAATTTTTTCATGTAAGACTTTTTTCCTCTATCATGTTAATGATCCAAAACCCCCTCATTCCGTTTCTTGATGATTTAGAAGGCCAAAATGTCTTGTAAAGTGCATGTTTTTGCCTGATTCTTGCTCGTGAAAACATTTAGGACTTGTGATATGTTCCATATGATAACACCAAAGGCTTGTTTATCCTGAGTTGGTGTGTTATGCAAAAGAAGTGGTGAGAGCAGTGATCATCTTTTTTCTTCATTGTTCTATTACTTTGTTAATTTGNCAGTGATATTACGTGGCAAGGTGATATATACATGGACTCTACAAAAATCAATAACTAACCTGACATGTAAGTAAATCCCACCCTCATACCATGTAAATTTAAGTGGGGTTCACCTTTTCCATTTAAAATTTTATTATTGAGATTTTATTATTAGTACGTGATATCATATTATCAATAGTGATATAGTATTAACGTTGCATTCAATATTTACTCCACCTAAGGATTAAACAGCACNAAAGTTTTAGGCTTCTCTAGGGGTATTGGTTTTAAAAGAGGTTAGGGAGAATCCCTTTTTTGGTATCCATCAAATTTTGAGTGCATTGTTGAATGGTTTTGTTGTCTATGTTTTAATCATGTACGTTTTCTTTTTTTTCTTTATAAGGTTGTCTGCTTGTTCAACTATGACGTTTAACTTCTTTCTTNAAATGGAAAAAAATTAACTGTTGAATCTCATTCTCTGCTTGCCTTGCCTACACCTGCTGGCCTAGAGCTCTGTCCCTCCGTTCTTTGGTCGTCGATAGAGAAGGAGAGAGAGAGAGAGAGAGAGAGCACGCAGTCAATCGCTTCCGTTTTTGGCGTATATAAATATATAGCTAACTGTAAAGAGTACCTATACATTACATAACGAGGAGGTTGGGGACGATGGATTTGGATCTGTGGATCTCGCAGGTGAAAGAGGGCCAGCACTTGTCCGAAGATGAACTTCAACTTCTATGCGAATATNGCTTTTGTATTTGTTAAATTTGGTGCCTTTGGATTCTTGATAAGTAATCGAGTTTGTGGGAATTTTTTCATGTAAGACTTTTGTCCTCTATCATGTTAATGATCCAAAACCCCCTCATTCCGTTTCTTGATGATTTAGAAGGCCAAAATGTCTTGTAAAGTGCATGTTTTTGCCTAATTNCTCAAATCTTGTGTATGGTTAGGGTTTTATAGGTAGGTAGGGCCCTGTCTATACTAATGCTTATTTGTTTGTTTGTACATATTCATCATAAGATGTGTCTGTTTTGTGTTATTTCTCACGACTATTTTTTTCAAGTGACATTTCCAATTTGGTAAACTTGGTTTATTGGTTAGACTGCGCTCAACCTGATGCTTTGGTATTAATTGCCTAAAGTACATACTGCTGCGTTGATATTTCTGCTCATAACTCATGATTAGCAGTGGTCTTGACTAGTGCATTTCTGTGTGAGAAACCAATTGGAATTGTTGGAGGATGTGATATGGTTTTATCCAATAAATGAATGAGCTTTATGGGCAATGAAGATAAACAAGAATACCATTTGCATAACAAAAGCATTGCTTGGTTGTTTTTTTTTTTTTNTGAGAGCAGTGATCATCTTTTTTCTTCATTGTTCTATTACTTTGTTAATTTGGAACAAGGCTGGGGAGACAAATTCAGTTTGACAGAGTCCTTCAGATTCTTCTTCTCTATAGTGATGAGACTTTTGTAGGAGTAAGAGAGCGAATAATCTTTGAAGATATGAGATTTTAACAATGTTGTAGGTAGTATGAATGAAAAGAAATAGTAGATTGTTCCTATGGAAAATCGAGAGGGAAGAGATTTTATGTATTGGAATGAAGTTTTGGGCTTCTCTAGGGGTATTGGTTTTAAAAGAGGTTAGTGAGAATCCCTTTTTTGGTATCCATCAAATTTTGAGTGCATTGTTGAATGGTTTTGTTGTCTATGTTTTAATCATGTACGTTTTCTTTTTTTTCTTTATAAGGTTGTCTGCTTGTTCAACTATGACGTTTAACTTCTTTCTTTCACTAATAATGAAAGTCTCATTTCGAAAGAAATGATGTACTTCACACTTGGTTCCACCCTATGAACCACGGATACTCTCAGATCAAATGCGGATACACCTTAGATACATAGCTAAATACATCTCAGATATATATATATATATATATTTTGGATGCATTTGAGATACATGGAGCATACAAGATTCATACATTTAGGTTATGCGATGATACAGTGAGACTAAATATATGATTTTTTTTAATTTTTAAAATAAGCCATTGAAGAAAATCAAATAATACATCTTAAAACAAAAATATTGGAGTTCTTTTTTCTAAAACAAATCGGAGTTTGACCCCACAATGATCGATCTCTTTAGTATGTTATATGTTGAATAATACCCACTTAGAATATTCCATTATGCTAAAAATTTAAGGTTTGACAGATATATAAAGTTTTAGCAAGAAACTGTTCAAGATTTTGTAATAATTTGCAATACAATTTATATTTTAGATAAGTTTTCAGGTCTATCAGAATTTGTGGAATGCATTTAATATATCTGATAGGATTGCTTACTAGTATCCTATTTTTTTTTAGATTGTGTCCCATTTCTGTATCACATCGTATTTGCATCTTGTATCATGCACATGTTTCCTAGGTTCCACCAAAAGCCTGGGCATCTCAATACTGGTTATTGTTGTTGAATGGCTAGGGTCATTGGATTGAGAGGATATTCTAGAATCTTTGAAGAACAAAGTTTTTTCACAANTTTTTATATTACCTTTATCATGTTCCAACGCCTTAATTTTTTCTGCTTTTATATTAGTCATTTACTTCATGGTTGCATTGTAAAATTTTCTACTTCTTGGCAGGGAGATTTTGTTGACCGTGGCTACAATAGTTTAGAAGTTTTCACAATTCTTTTGCTACTCANGAATTCAAATGCTGGTTTCTGGATTCCATAGTTGGAGATTGGTGGCCATGGTCATTGGCTTGAGAGGATATTCTAGAATCTTTGAAGAACAAAGTTTATTCACAAGATGAACTTTGGGATAGTGTACTTCGTTGACTTACAGGGACATGGTTTCTTTCACAAAGAATTCAAATGCTGGTTTCTGGATTCCATAGTTGGAGATTGGTGGCCATGGTCATTGGCTTGAGAGGATATTCTAGAATCTTTGAAGAACANCAGGTGCCAACTATTTTGTAGTGAGATTGGAAATTGTAAAAAATGTAAATGTCTTTGAATGCACTAGAGCTGAGAGCTTTACTCTGTTTTTAGGTATCGAGTTCAAGGCTAGGAAACACAAATACGGACACGGATGTCGTATTCGATACGATACAGACACGAGGATACAACAAAGTTAAAAAATATGGGACATGGGTACGACAATGATACGACTATTAAAATAATATGATATATTTTTAAAATAATTATAGAGTTTTAATATATNAGCAATCTCTTGGTCCTTACTTCCATGTGAACTTGTTCAGGTAAATTTTGGACACATCTTTGGGCAGTTATTGCATGGATTCCAAGATGGATTATTTTAGAGGCTGATGGCTTGGCTAAGGAGGGGTTACAAGCCTTGTTCCATGTGGATGTCATTTTTACCTTGAGGAATATTGGGGCTCTTTCGGTTGAAGGGAGCCGTCCAATGTACAATTTGTTTCACTTTTTTCCCTTCTNCATTACATTTATTAACATTCATAGTATATAAGTTACCTAACAAAAAATATATTAAAAAAAGTAAAAATCACACTTCTTTTAATAGTTAAAAGTTGTTTTTTTAATAAAAAAATCTTGGCCATATCCTAGACGTATCCTAGTCGTGTTCTACACGTATACTTACCGTATCGTAGGCATATCCTAGACGTATCCTAACCGTGTCCAACTAGGTTCACTATTCAGAACACTTCTAGCCATGTTGGACACGTGTCTGACACTGCCACGACACCCCTGTGGGAAGTATCCGTGCTTCCTAGGTTCAAGGTGATGATTAATTTCTAAGATACAAAAAAAAACATCATACCGTCTCTAACACTGATATTAATGAATTGAAGCTGGAAGAGCCTGTATGTGGTATCTGTTCATGAAAGTGTAAAATTTGGCAGATCAGAACACAATTAATGGTGAGAGTTTGGATGAATTCTTGTTGTAATTGGATTTCCATGTCATAAAATTCATCCGCTTTCTAATGTTTAATTTCCTTTCTCCTTTTTCTTGCTCCAGTGTAAGTTTTGAATAGGTGGTTCTTTATTCTTATAGTTTTGAATAGGCTTTAGGTGGAAGTAGATTAGATTTCAATGTCTGTGGAGATTTTTTTGCAGTCTACTAATTGAAATGTTTTCCTGAGAAGCTAATATTGCTCCCTGGTTTGTTTATTAAAGTTCATATGTTTTTCCTGGTTCCTGCTACCAGATACCCCTCTAACATTACTCTTCTACGTGGGAATCATGAAAGCAGGCAGCTAACACAGGTAATTGATNTGCAATCTCTTGGTCCTTACTTCCATGTGAACTTGTTCAGGTAAATTTTGGACACGTCTTTGGGCAGTTATTGCATGGATTCCAAGATGGATTATTTTATAGGCTGATGGCTTGGCTAAGGAGGGGTTACAAGCCTTGTTCCATGTGGATGTCATTTTTACCTTGAGGAATATTGGGGCTCTTTTGGTTGAAGGGAGCCGTCCAATGTACAATTTGTTTCACTTTTTTCCCTTCTTTTTAGCCTTTTCTTTTTGACAAAGGATCTCCCATCCTTGCCTGTTTTAGCTCTCTAATTCTCTTTACTAAGATTTCGTTCCTTAATAAAAATAACTGGTTTTGTCGGTGCTTGATTTTTTTTTCCTGATGTTCTGAGGCACAGATTTATTGTAATGATGTATATCTTTTTAAAGAAACATCAAAAATTCTTTTGAGAACTACCATTATGTGTTATGTTTATGTACTTGTCAGGTGAAAGAGATCTTGATCGAGGAGTCAAATGTGCAGCCTGTCAATAGTCCAGTTACGGTGTGTGGTGACATCCACGGTCAATTCCATGATCTGATGAAGCTCTTCCAGACAGGAGGTCATGTACCAGAGACAAATTACATTTTTATGGTGAACCTTTTATATTACCTTTATCATGTTCCAACGCCTTAATTTTTTCTGCTTTTATATTAGTCATTTACTTCATGGTTGCATTGTAAAATTTTCTACTTCTTGGCAGGGAGATTTTGTTGACCGTGGCTACAATAGTTTAGAAGTTTTCACAATTCTTTTGCTACTCAAAGCAAGGTATATATCAGTATAATGAATAAGTTTTGGTTTTTGTGTGTATCCTTATGATAAAATTATTTACCGTTAGACTTTCAGTATTCTGCTGGTCATTGAATCTGTGATCATCGCGGATTAAGGATTTTGAAACCTGTATGATATCATTATAGCCCAGGTGCCAACTATTTTGTAGTGAGATTGGAAATTGTAAAAAATGTAAATGTCTTTGAATGCACTAGAGCTGAGAGCTTTACTCTGTTTTTAGGTATCGAGTTCAAGGCTAGGAAACACAAATACGGACACGGATGTCGTATTCGATACGATACAGACACGAGGATACAACAAAGTTAAAAAATATGGGACATGGGTACGACAATGATACGACTATTAAAATAATATGATATATTTTTAAAATAATTATAGAGTTTTAATATATTAAAAATAAAGCATATATTATAACAATATTAATAATAACACCTAGAAAATATTATTTTTTTGATTAAAATTGAAATAGATCAAATTAAATATCCATTATTTTCATCAAATATCATTACATTTATTAACATTCATAGTATATAAGTTACCTAACAAAAAATATATTAAAAAAAGTAAAAATCACACTTCTTTTAATAGTTAAAAGTTGTTTTTTTAATAAAAAAATCTTGGCCATATCCTAGACGTATCCTAGTCGTGTTCTACACGTATACTTACCGTATCGTAGGCATATCCTAGACGTATCCTAACCGTGTCCAACTAGGTTCACTATTCAGAACACTTCTAGCCATGTTGGACACGTGTCTGACACTGCCACGACACCCCTGTGGGAAGTATCCGTGCTTCCTAGGTTCAAGGTGATGATTAATTTCTAAGATACAAAAAAAAACATCATACTGTCTCTAACACTGATATTAATGAATTGAAGCTGGAAGAGCCTGTATGTGGTATCTGTTCATGAAAGTGTAAAATTTGGCAGATCAGAACACAATTAATGGTGAGAGTTTGGATGAATTCTTGTTGTAATTGGATTTCCATGTCATAAAATTCATCCGCTTTCTAATGTTTAATTTTCCTTTCTCCTTTTTCTTGCTCCAGTGTAAGTTTTGAATAGGTGGTTCTTTATTCTTATAGTTTTGAATAGGCTTTAGGTGGAAGTAGATTAGATTTCAATGTCTGTGGAGATTTTTTTGCAGTCTACTAATTGAAATGTTTTCCTGAGAAGCTAATATTGCTCCCTGGTTTGTTTATTAAAGTTCATATGTTTTTCCTGGTTCCTGCTACCAGATACCCCTCTAACATTACTCTTCTACGTGGGAATCATGAAAGCAGGCAGCTAACACAGGTAATTGATCCTATGGCTTCTTAGGCTATATTTTTATATTGTTGATATATTGAAATGTGTTGGATGACCAGTAACTACCATTTTGGAACTACTTGCATGCAACATTGTGTATTTACCTTTCCATGTGTTAAAGGTGGCCAAACACCAATTTCCTAAATATCTAAATGTGCTGGGATTAACGGGTAGCACAATTTACGGTCCCATCAAGTGGATATGTATATTTTCCTCAGGTGCTAGGTGTGGTTCTGGTGTGATTTTGTCCTCATTTTAGTCTCAGTAGAGGAGACATATTCAGGAACTTCCTAAGCTGGAGATCTAAGAACAGGAAACATATCTTTCATAATCTAGAACTAGAAGTGTCTATCTTGCTCATGTCGTTCAGATTAAGTGTTATTTAGATTTGGTTCATATTGCTGAATCATGCTGTTTTTATAAGATCTGAAAAAATTATGAGGTCTTGGATTGGTTCAAACATTTGGGCCTGCCTGGGATGGAGATTCTCTCTGGAACTGTTATTGGGGTTGGCCGGCACTGTGCCTCACCTGATTAAATTAGTTCTTACTTTTCTGTTGTGAAGATTAACAACTGAGCACCTCTTCTGCATGTGTGATTGGTCAAGGACGCAGTGTTTCTGTCTGGACCACAATTTTCTTCATCAAGTCATTCATGATGATTGATTGTTTTTCAGGAATTAACTGTGCTTCCACGTATAGTTGATAAGCGCTATTTGGATTTGTGAGGGTCTTAATGGGTCACACTGTGATACTGGGAAAGGATGATAGTCAAGGCCTTAGCTGCACCACCTTTTTAAGGTTGGCAAACAACCAAAATATAAGGTGTATCTTGAAAGGAAGAAANCTTTTATATTACCTTTATCATGTTCCAACGCCTTAATTTTTTCTGCTTTTATATGAGTCATTTACTTCATGGTTGCATTGTAAAATTTTCTACTTCTTGGCAGGGAGATTTTGTTGACCGTGGCTACAATAGTTNATTCATCTTGTTTGGATTTGACCAATAAAGTTAAGTGGAAGATCAAGGTGCCTCCCCAAAAAAAGGCATAGAGATACAACTCATTGACCTAGGGGGTGACACTCGTCAAAGGATGTACTCATAAGAAAGGAAGTCAAAGTTTCAGAGGAACACTTGAAAATATTAGTCTGTGGCTAACTTGCTGTTGAGGAGGGTATGTTAATTTGATTGCAGAATTACTGCATCTGAATGAAATTGGATAANTAGGTGCCAATTATTTTGTAGTGAGATTGGAAATTGTAAAAAATGTAAATGTCTTTGAATGTACTAGAGCTGAGAGCTTTACTCTGTTTTTAGGTATCAAGTTCAAGGCTAGGAAACACAAATACGGACACAGATGTCGTATTTGATACGATACAGACACGAGGATACAACAAAGTTAAAAAATATGGGACATGGGTACGACAATGGTACGACTATTAAAATAATATGATATATTTTTAAAATAATTATAGAGTTTTAATATATTAAAAATAAAGCATATATTATAACAATATTAATAATAACACCTAGAAAATATTATTTTTTTGATTAAAATTGAAATAGATCAAATTAAATATCCATTATTTTCATCAAATATCATTACATTTATTAACATTCATAGTATATAAGTTACATAACAAAAAATATATTAAAAAAAGTATAAATCACACTTCTTTTAATAGTTAAAAGTTATTTTTTTAATAAAAAAATCTTGGTCATATCCTAGACGTATCCTAGTCGTGTTCTACACGTATACTTACCGTATCGTAGGCANTTCTATTTCCTGAGACAAAACGGTGTTCTGTGTTTGTCAGTGTTCAACATGGGTAGTTGGCTTATTTCAGAGCGACTATGCAACAAAAGCTGTGTACAATTGAGTGTCAATTACATTTATACCTTTAAAGTTGAATTGTTGAATCTTTTACGGTTTCATATCCGATCTGAAGGGAAGTGTTGTACATCTCTCCCATTTCTTTTACACAAGTATTGAGTGGTCGATAGGGCACTNTGTGCTTCCTAGGTTCAAGGTGATGATTAATTTCTAAGATACAAAAAAAAACATCATACTGTCTCTAACACTGATATTAATGAATTGAAGCTGGAAGAGCCTGTATGTGGTATCTGTTCATGAAAGTGTAAAATTTGGCAGATCAGAACACAATTAATGGTGAGAGTTTGGATGAATTCTTGTTGTAATTGGATTTCCATGTCATAAAATTCATCCGCTTTCTAATGTTTAATTTCCTTTCTCCTTTTTCTTGCTCCAGTGTAAGTTTTGAATAGGTGGTTCTTTATTCTTATAGTTTTGAATAGGCTTTAGGTGGAAGTAGATTAGATTTCAATGTCTGTGGAGATTTTTTTGCAGTCTACTAATTGAAATGTTTTCCTGAGAAGCTAATATTGCTCCCTGGTTTGTTTATTAAAGTTCATATGTTTTTCCTGGTTCCTGCTACCAGATACCCCTCTAACATTACTCTTCTACGTGGGAATCATGAAAGCAGGCAGCTAACACAGGTAATTGATCCTATGGCTTCTTAGGCTATATTTTTATATTGTTGATATATTGAAATGTGTTGGATGACCAGTAACTACCATTTTGGAACTACTTGCATGCAACATTGTGTATTTACCTTTCCATGTGTTAAAGGTGGCCAAACACCAATTTCCTAAATATCTAAATGTGCTGGGATTAACGGGTAGCACAATTTACGGTCCCATCAAGTGGATATGTATATTTTCCTCAGGTGCTAGGTGTGGTTCTGGTGTGATTTTGTCCTCATTTTAGTCTCAGTAGAGGAGACATATTCAGGAACTTCCTAAGCTGGAGATCTAAGAACAGGAAACATATCTTTCATAATCTAGAACTAGAAGTGTCTATCTTGCTCATGTCGTTCAGATTAAGTGTTAATTAGATTTGGTTCATATTGCTGAATCATGCTGTTTTTATAAGATCTGAAAAAATTATGAGGTCTTGGATTGGTTCAAACATTTGGGCCTGCCTGGGATGGAGATTCTCTCTGGAACTGTTATTGGGGTTGGCCGGCACTGTGCCTCACCTGATTAAATTAGTTCTTACTTTTCTGTTGTGAAGATTAACAACTGAGCACCTCTTCTGCATGTGTGATTGGTCAAGGACGCAGTGTTTCTGTCTGGACCACAATTTTCTTCATCAAGTCATTCATGATGATTGATTGTTTTTCAGGAATTAACTGTGCTTCCACATATAGTTGATAAACGCTATTTGGATTTGTGAGGGCCTTAATGGGTCACACTGTGATACTGGGAAAGGATGATAGTCAAGGCCTTGGCTGCACCACCTTTTTAAGGTTGGCAAACAACCAAAATATAAGGTGTATCTTGAAAGGAAGAAATAAACACAAACACATGCACACTCTCTCTCTTTCTCTCGCTTATGTCTCTCTTTCTTCCGTTCATCTTGTTTGGATTTGACCAATAAAGTTAAGTGGAAGATCAAGGTGCCTCCCCAAAAAAAGGCATAGAGATACAACTCATTGACCTAGGGGTTGACACTCGTCAAAGGATGTACTCATAAGAAAGGAAGTCAAAGTTTCAGAGGAACACTTGAAAATATTAGTCTGTGGCTAACTTGCTGTTGAGGAGGGTATGTTAATTTGATTGCAGAATTACTGCATCTGAATGAAATTGGATAAACAAGACATATAATGTGAAAGTTTTTGGCTATGTTCCATGGACTCGGTTGAAAATGTGGGTGTGAGAATGTGATAAACTACACATTGACGTGATTTCCATTACAAAAAATGCTATGACATGCTAAAGGTTGTTTTTTTTTCTTTACTTTTTAGCAAGTGACTGAATGTCTAAGAGCTGCCAAAAGTGTGAGCCCTTCCCCATAGTCCCAAGCGTAGGGGAAAGGGCGAAATTCGAGAGACAGCTCGTCAAAGAGAGTGAACGTTCCTTGGTGTTGTCAACCATCCCGTCACTCCGAAGGAATGGAAGGGATGACCTTTACTTTTCCTAACCCTAAGTTGTCCCATAAAAAATATTCAATTCCTAACAGCTCTCTATTTCCTGAGACAAAACGGTGTTCTGTGTTTGTCAGTGTTCAACATGGGTAGTTGGCTTATTTCAGAGCGACCATGCAACAAAAGCTGTGTACAACCTTTAAAGTTGACTTGTTGAATCTTTTACGGTTTCATATCCGATCTGAAGGGAAGTGTTGTACATCTCTCCCATTTCTTTTACACAAGTATTGAGTGGTCGATAGGGCACTCTATGCATTTTAAAGGGTTCCTGTACACAGGTGATTGGATTTGTTGGACACTTGTGACTGGTTTGTGGAGCTAATTGTGGTTAACATATGCTACCCTTGGATGCACATCAGAATGGAAGCATTCAAGCTTATTTTCTGAATGGAAATTTATCAAAACATGAAAATTTGAAAGACAAGGTGTTAATGATGCCATTGTAGTGTGTGCTTGTATCTTTTGTAAATTGTTTACTATGTTAAAAACTCTGTTTGGAAATATTTGGAGAGTTGGATTTATATTTGCTTAGTGTTTTTGGACAAACCATCTAAGTATGGTCCTTATTACTGCCGTGTGCATTACAGTGCATATTGTCAATGCTCCTTGTTTTATGGCACCAAATGCCAATGGTAGATGGTGCAAGTAGGTATGGAATTACTTTGACTCCACCCTAAAGAACAGTATTTTGTTTACTATTAAGCTCATGACAGACAGCTCATATGTTGCAGAGGAAAAGCTACTTTAATGATGACAAGTTCTACTGATATTTGAACTTATTCCATATTTGCTAGGTCTATGGATTCTATGATGAATGCCAAAGGAAGTATGGAAATGCTAATGCATGGCGTTATTGCACAGATGTCTTTGACTATCTAACTCTGTCAGCAATTATAGATGGAACAGTACGTTGTCTCTCTCCCTCCCTTCTCTCTCGTGTGGAGAATTGTGCTTGCATGTTTGATATTTCCTCTTTGGAATTCCAGGTACTATGTGTCCATGGTGGCCTTTCTCCTGACGTTAGAACTGTTGACCAGGTTTGCCTTGCTATACAACACTATTGGTAACTGGGTTATGTTACACCTTTGTCATAGAGGATTTCTAAGGTTGTGGTTGTCCCTATAAGGAGAAATATTTCCCGTTTGTGCTTTTATGTTGGATCAAGTGCTGCATACAGCATTTTTGCCAATCCACCAAGAGCATGTTTTGTGGGCTTTGCCTTTTAATGTAATTCTAAATATTTAGCACATGTGGTATGGCTGTTTATTTGTTTATTGGAGGATGACAAGCATATGGATTCTCCGTGTCCCCACTTTAAGAAGTTTGACTTTATTTTTGAAGATCTAAAATAGCTGTTATTTGTTTGTTATGTGGGGCTTGTTCATTTGACACNTTTAGCACATGTGGTATGGCTGTTTATTTGTTTATTGGAGGATGACAAGCATATGGATTCTTTGTGTCCCCACTTTAAGAAGTTTGACTTTATTTTTGAAGATCTAAAATAGCTGTTATTNTATATGGATTCTCCGTGTCCCCACTTTAAGAAGTTTGACTTTATTTTTGAAGATCTAAAATAGCTGTTATTTGTTTGTTATGTGGGGCTTGTTCATTTGACACTAAAAATCCCTTGCATTTTCGAAAAGGCCGAATTTTGTTCACATTATGTTTGCTGGAATCTTCTGTTATCCATATTTTAAAAAGCGGAACCAGAAATTCCTATGAAATTTATGACCATGCATTTGCATCTTGTTTTTTTTCTTGGCAGATTAGGGTTGTTGAACGAAATTGTGAAATTCCCCATGAGGGGCCCTTCTGTGACCTCATGTGGAGTGACCCTGAAGATATTGAAACATGGGCTGTCAGTCCTCGAGGAGCAGGCTGGCTTTTTGGATCAAGAGTTACTTCTGAGGTAGGGAAGAATGATCATTTCAGTCCTGTGCCACATTGCATGCTAAATTTGTGACGTGTTTCTTGCTGCAGTTCAATCACATCAACAAACTTGATCTGGTTTGCCGGGCCCACCAACTTGTGCAGGAAGGTCTGAAGTACATGTTTCAAGACAAGGGACTTGTAACTGTGAGTTGTCTATTCCATAGTGTTGAGTTTTTAAGATGGCCTCTAACCCTAGAATCTTGTCACGATATGCTGATTGTTTCTTTTTGGAATATGCAGGTATGGTCTGCGCCAAATTATTGTTATCGTTGTGGAAATGTTGCTTCAATATTGAGCTTCAATGAGAATATGGTACCATTGCTCAATTTCCCACGCTTTATTTATTCCTTTTCTAGTGAGCAGGGTACACCAGTATCAGTTCTATTGTTGTTGATTTATTTGTATATTAACCATAAAGTGTGCCGTAATTGAATGTTTATTTTTTCGGGGTTTTAGCTGTTTGAAGACTTACACTGAAGGCTTCTTGAAATAAGGGAACCTATAATTGCCTGTTTACCCAACTTTATAATCCATATACGTGATTGAATATACTTTTTATACACTCCACGTATTTATTCTCTGGCCTAAGAGGAATTTATTGATAAAGTGGTTGAGAATTTCATGATAGCATCATTGCAATATGATTATAGGTTATTTGTTCTCTATATTTTCAACTAGGCAAGAGGTAATTTTATCATTGTACAATGTAGGGATACACAACTGGCCCTTAGCCTAGGTTATAGCCCAATCTCTGTATGCACAATTTCGGGATCTGAGCCTCATTATACATGGTCCCATTGAAAGCTACTTAACTAGTTATCTGGTGTTCTAGTCTCTACAGCTGAAGTCATAAACACCGCCCACACCCCCCTCTCTCACAGAGCGAAACCCAATCTGAAACATTGACAAAATTTTATGGGGAAAAATGAGATTGTATTCCTTAATATCATGATTTATTTTGATGAATATCATCTTTTCGTTTCTCACTGGTGCTCTTTTTTTTTTGGCTTTTTTAACCTGATGTTTGTCTTGCTCTATCAGGAGAGGGAAGTGAAGTTCTTCACTGAAACGGAGGAAAACAACCAGATGAGAGGACCCAGAACAGGAGTACATTATTTCTTATGAGTATGGCTTTTGTTTGTTTTGTGAGTTGTGATATTGTTTCGACAATTGATGCTGCGCTATTTGTCAATGATGGAAAGGAACATAACAAAATATAGTCCCTTAGAGGAATTCTGGATACAGAGATTGCTAATCATGGAAGATAGAAATGCAGCCTTGCTCTCCTGTATGACTGTTGGTTTCGAATAGCTTGTTCTGTGGACCAAGGATGATTCAATTTTTCATGTTGTTTCTTCTGTTCCTCGTCCATAAAATAAAATTCTACGTTAGATCCAGATTGTAAGTTTTTAGAGTACTTGCTGCTCCATGCTAGAGTCAAAGTTGTGCTAGAACTTTCAGTTGTAATTTAGGCCATTATTACGAACAAATGGCCATCTTACAGTGTTTTTGTAACTTTTGTACCTTAATCCCATACTTTTTAAGCTATTTGTTTTTTCTGATGAAGAGCGGATTAAATTCACCTTTTTTAGCGTGAATATGTGTTTGCAAAACACGCTTTTAAGGTTTTCTAGCGAAAAAATATTTTGTTTTTGCATTGGAAAGAAATTACACATTTTTAAGGAAACGACGGTGGTTGGAAAATAAGCTGGAAAATAGGGTAGTGGTTAGGCATGCTGCAATGGATGCCGGGGCTTATTTGCTGCTTTGAGAATGGATTAGTTCAAAACGTGGCTAAAATAGTTATTGTAATCTCAAACATGTGTGTTTTTCCAGAAGCCATTTGTCCTTATTCATTAGGGGATATGTTCTAATATCGGTGATCAATAGTTGAACTCAAGTGAGTAATCGATGAAAATTTTGACACTTTGTACCATAACTTTTTTGTTACCATGTGCAAATGTGTATTATTATACATACATTCAGTTTTGGAAGAATGGAGTCATTTTGAAGAAAAAATAAGTTAAAAAATTAAATATAAAAAATAAAGGCTATTTCAAAAAGTTTAGGAAAAAAAAACTTTGAAATAACCTTAATGGGTATGTGGTTCAAATATTTCAATGATATTGATGCTGATAATTGGTCCATCATTATATGATATCTTCGTTCAAACTGTGTTTAGATCAAGGTTGAGACAAGTTATGAGTGTTGTTTAATACAAGTCACGTGACTTAGATTAGAGACAAACGTAAAGTGCTAAGTTTGAAAAAACAATCGTATCCCATTCAAAATCAAGTTTGGGAGGAAAAAAATTTTGCCCATTAAATCGTAGTATGGTCAATTTCGACTATGGCATATCATATTTGATTAGTTTGTATCTTTATGTGGTGTCATTGAACGTTGTACCATTAGACCTTTACCAACTAAAGTCCCTAAAACATGAGAAAAGATTCAATGCGATCTGGTGATATAATAATATCAACACCCAATAATAAAATTTCAAATGAATATAGTGAATCTCCACTGGTGTATTTAGGTAGTTATTGACTTATATGGATAGATAGTTATTAATTTGTGTGGAGTCATTTTTTTATTTATTTACACTTTATTAGTTAGTGACATCACGTGACAATGTTGACATGGTATAACATGATGCTAAATTGACCACTAAACTAATTTAATCCTGATCTATCCTTTTTTTTTTTGATGAATACAGAGAAGGATACATGCATATTTTCAAACATATTTCACCAAATATCATATTACAATCGAAAGACCCTAAGAGGATCAATAAGTCCAAATCCAAACACCACCACCAAAAGGCCTAATAAACCCAAAATGAACTGAATTCTTACATCAATTACGACAAGAGGTTCAGGTCCTCGTCTACCTCTTTATGACCTAACTATACATACCCTACGAACGTTATTCACATTTTGTGTGCTCTATCAATGGTGACAATGGGTTTCACCATCACGCTGTCTAAATTAAATTTAAAATTCTCCAATTTAAGTGCACTCGCAACTCAAATATGATATTGTGGGTCCGAAAATGCCAACATTTTCATCCACTATGTGGTGTAAATATATTTGGGATGAAGGATTTAAGGTTTGATTTGGACATCATAGTATTTTTTGAACATACAAAAATCATATTTATGGGGGCGTTTATTCCACAAACAACTTGAGATTAGTAAGTTGGTCATTCTGGATCAATCCTTTTTATTATTATTAGTATCTCTTTTAAGGAAATACTATAGCTTCATGAGTAGAACCAATCAACATTTGACTTGCTTAGCAATTTAAATTATTCCAAGTTTGAAAAATTTAAGGAGGGGGTCAAAATTAATGGCTTAGCATTGTGAGACTTTTTACACATACACACAGTCCTGCTACTAGGATTTTTGAATATTTAGAATGATTCTAGTCGTAGAAGTCAGTTTCATTAATTAATTCAACTAGGGATACTTTTGTCTTTTTACTGAACTGCTGGTGTTTGTTAGAACCTAACCACCATTCATCACCATTGGCGTCAATTCAACTGACATTTTCACGCCATATTTTTTAGTTTGACTTTTTAAGAGAAAACGTCGGTTATATTGATGTGTTTAGCATAAAGATGTTTGTTAAAACGACGTTTATAATATAGAGACATTAGTTAGACTGATGCTTTTAAAATTATCTGAGTTTGAGAAATATTTTCAAAATTATTGGTAAAAAAAATTCTAAACCAGTCGGGTTTGGTATACAACTCGACCACCATCACAGCCATGTCCAACCCCACTAGCATGCATCACCACCATTGCTATCGGCCTAGCACCACCACCTCATCACTCCTCCACAGTCACACCAGACAAATTTAAATTTAAAAGAAGATAAATTCAAATTTTAAAAAAACGTGAAATATAATTATTAAATCTTTTAAAAAAAATAAAATCTAATCATTGAAAATTTAAGTTTCATTTGATTGAGTTAAAATTAAAATTTTTTTTCATTTAATATGAGTTTGAGTAAAATACTTAAGCTCGTTTTTAACTGATATGAATTGAAGATGCCTTAGGTAGATCATGCTATCAATCCTTTTTTTTTTTTTTTCGATATTGGTATCAATTTGAACGAAACACACTAGCTTCATAGTTGTACCCATATTAAAAATTGACTGGCTATAACGATTTAAATTAGGAAAAATTACCAATAAATATTAATTTTTTTCACAAAAATCTGTTAAGTCTTATTAGTTTTGGTAATTAAAGGGTAAAGATAAAGTTGGAATATAATGGAATTAATTCTTAATTAAAATAAAATATTAAAAATAGGACTTCATTGATATAAAACAAAAATGATAGGACTTAAAAAGATATTTGTAGGAAAAGTAATACTTATTAGTAATTTTTCCTCTAAATTATTCCAAGGTCAAAAAATAAAATGATAGGGTCAAAATAAAAAATAAACAATAGACGGTCAAATTTAATGCCTTAGTATTGCGTGAGAGAACTTATCACACATACATTTTTTCCTTCCTATGACCTTTTGTTCAAGGAAAATACTATTTGACCATTGTCCCAACTACTAGCTCTCAACAATAAACGCAATTCAAAATAGATTGTTTTCAATATTTAAATTGATTTTTGTCCTAGAGGGCACTTTTACTTAATTAATTCAACAAGGGTTATTTTTTTCTTTTTACATAAGCTATTGGCTAACGCCCATCTTCTTGCTTGAATTCCATCTTGAAAGTCCTCCAAGATTGATGATTAAAATCAATATAGAAGAACAACACTGATATGGTTTAGAGTACTTAACGAGAATTATCCGATTTATAAGATCAATTCGAACCAAACCTCTTTCAAATAAATCCATTTAAAGCCTCAAAGGCTCTATGTGAGCAAGTGTTCCTATGCACAATTTATAGGACACGCTAAACTAGAATAGTGTACATAGTGAAACGGGAAAATACTCTAGCTTTGAACACTTTTTAGTTTCATTTCAACACAAGAGAAATGAGGAGATTAGTGAAAAAAATTAATTTTCCAAAAGAGAAGTAGAGAAAGTAGAAACACATTTTGTCTTGATCTTTTGATGAGGGAATAAACATTATAGCATTCAAATTCCTTCATATTTTAATTTTAGTCAACTTAAATATCCCACCCCTTAAATATATTCAACCCCTTTTAATAAGTTTATCTGAGTGTCATTGACATCTTGTGGAAGTTCAAAAATCTAGCAATAAATAAAACTTAATTGATAGTTGCATAAATTACCAATGAGATTCAATAACAAAAAAAAAAAAAAAAGATTATCAAATTGGTTTGGCATTGAAAAACTATAATCCAAGTTTACTTTTGGTGATGGATCAAAATTTTATTTTGATCATCTAGAAAATAAAAACGTTTCAACCCGTTCAAAAATGTTTCAACCTATTTCAAAAATAGAATGAAAACGAATAAAAAATAAAAAATTATTTTTTAAAAATATTGGTCAAAATATACCANAGCAATGGATGCCGGGGCTTATTTGCTGCTTTGAGGATGGATTAGTTCAAAACGTGGCTAAAATAGTTGTCGTAATCTCAAACATGTGTGTTTATCCAGGAGCCATTTGTCCTTATTCATTAGGGGATATGTTCTAATATCGGTGATCAATAGTTGAACNCAAAATATCTTGAAATACCTTGAAATAATTGTGTAAATGTGTGAAAATATTATGAAACATCTCAAAATATTAGAATTTCGATTTAATCATTGCTTCATTTCAGCCTCTTTGAAAACAGAAATGTTTCGGCTGTTTGGACAGTTTCGAAACAAAATTTTAANTAAAATATCTTGAAATACCTTGAAATATTTTGAAATAATTGTGTAAATGTGTGAAAATATTATGAAACATCTCAAAATATTAGAATTTCGATTTAATCATTGCTTCGTTTCAACCTCTTTGAAAACAGAAATGTTTCGGCTGTTTGGACAGTTTCGAAACAAAATTTTAATCCTTACTTTTGGTACTGTTTGAACATAAAATATAAAATCTCACGAATATTCAATATATGGACATCTGACAATCTGAATACACTAAGAAGATACCACGTGACAGAATTTGAAGAAAGACGAGAGATGATCAACCACAACTATATTTGAAAAAAGGAATAACCAATTGGAGGTTACCATCTAGTAACTGTCGATGGAAGTAAAACCGCGAAGATAGTGGCTATAAAAGGGCATGTAGTAGAAAAGATGAAAGATACACTCAAACCCTCACAAGACCCATGATCTGAGCATTTTAGGAGTTGTTTTAGATTAGTTTTNAAGGAATAACCAATTGGAGGTTACCATCTAGTAACTGTCAATGGAAGTAAAACCGCGAAGATAGTGGCTATAAAAGGGCACGTAGTAGAAAAGATGAAAGATACACTCAAACCCTCACAAGACCCATGATCTGAGCATTTTAGGAGTTGTTTTAGATTAGTTTTAGGAAGCAGTTACTGCTGCAATCAAGACTGTTTATCCAGTCTTTTTTGTAACCGAAGTCTCTTCGATTGAATTAATAAATGAGTCCTCTTTTATTAGTTCATTGTATTAT